AAAGTGTTAGCCTTAGGAGACTCTTTCTAGGCAGCCATTTCTGAAACTCCTTGCCTTCCAATTTGTTTGGAATTATTCCTAAATTAGTCTGCACATATTTGGGATCTGATTCGGGAAAGCATTATTATTTCTGAACACACTTAAGCACACCTACTTAAGCTTAAGCAGACATTCAGATGATTTCATGAATCAGAGAAAATAGACTTTTTACGCCTGGGTTATTTTATCTTCCCCAACCAAATATAAATGTGTGCTAGGGGTCCAGGTTAAGGCTTGTGGCATTAACTAGCTCAAAAATATTTTTAATTTTGTCACCCTTCCTGTGTTAGTCTGCATAGTTGACACTGGCTGTTTTTCATCATTGGAAAAGATCATTGAATCATCTAATGGGAGGTTAAATGGAAAGTAAAAGTCTTCGTAGTAGTGTGATGCAACTCCCATATCTAATTAAAGCCTCAAAGCATTTTTTAAAAGCTGTGTTAAAGGTGAATCATTTCTGTAAACAGCCCTTAAAGTGAAAAACCAACACCTTTGCTGTGGGAGAAGTAATATGGCCCAGCATACCTTTCCAAACAAAGAGCCACTTGCCTTTCTTCAGCAGCTCAGCATGGGGTGCCAGAAAAATCATTAACAGGCCCATCCTGCACTTTTCCCTTTTCCACACCTGCATATCACGATCCCTGCTGTAACTTTATGGACCGTGAGGAGGCAGGTTTGACGCCATGAAACACAGGCTTAGTTAACAGCTGCAGGATGGGTAGAAAGCCAGACAGTAAAATGTAAAGAGGAGGAAGGAGAGGGGATCACCTTTGAAGTTTACAAAAAAGCATGACTTTGACCACTTCCTTTTTTAATTAGCTGCCTCAGGTAAGTTGAGATATCGGTAAAGAAGTGGGGGTGGAAGTTCTTGGAACTGCTCAAGGTACTGTAGTTAAAATGTGTAGTTTGGTGTGTGTATGCATATGAGTATGTACTTTTTTTAAACAGTTTTTCTTTTAAAAAAAAATGAAAACACCACCCCATAAATGTTAAAGGAAATAATTTATTCCATCTTGGAATCTGAGCTGAAAATACAGTTTGCCAAGTGTGAAAAGCTACATTAAATGCAGAGTAAAAGTTGAGATTTTAATTTCTCACAAACCAGGAAATGTGTAGTTACAGTTCCCATGGCAACTATAACTTGTCCCCTTGTGCATATGTAAAATCTTAAATCGCCTTGTATGGTGGGAACTTCCGGTCAGATTCTAATCTCTGGTATCTCATTGCAGATCCAGAGTAATTGCTCTGGATCTAACAAAACCAAGAATGTAATTTGCTTGAAAGAGGGCTAAAACCAGGAACCAACACTTAGAGTACCTGGACTTTCTTTAAATCTGAGCCTTAATTTTGGACTAGTATGTTTTTCCTTTTTTCCTCCCATTCTTTTATTTTAATATTTAGATGGATAAAGATAATATAAAAAAGGTTGGTTTTTTTACTGGTTATATAAGTGATTGACTCTAAACTAGTATAAATCAAGAGCAGTTAATGTTGCTTTTAAAATTAGATCCTTAATATATAGGAGTTTTCCCCCCTCTCCTCTCTAAATTTGTGCTCTCTCAATCTAACATACTGTGTTTAATTTAAAGGCATAGAATCCTATCAAATATTCATATGAAAATAATTATGCTTTTATATGAATGTACACTTGTTGAAATAAACATAGTTATTTATTTTTAAGGTGGAGAGTACATGTTTACTTATCTTGTGAGTACAAATACATTGCCATGTCCTGACATCTGTTAAAAAAGGTAAGGGGAAAACAAGGGAGCTTTTTGCTGATCTATTTTATCAAATCAACTGCATAGTCGGAAGAGATGTTAGATCTAAGTTTTCAGGCACACAATGCCATTTCTCAGTGTCTCTTCTAGCTATACAGTTGATTCAATAAAAGATATTGCCAACAAAAAAAAAGCCCCCTTTGCTTCTTGAATACTTCTTGGGCCATAATAGCTACAGCACTTCAACACTGAAAAATAAGGGATATTCATAAGATGTGTTAGTTCTTTCTTTCCAAATCAAGTTGTTTCAGATCTGGTAAAGGCATTCATCTTCATGGTTTATACTATATTCAGAATTGGAGAAGTGAAATTCTAAATAGTTTTTTTCTCTTTAAGTTTTTACAGTTTCCCCAAGAAAACGTAAGGAGGGAAAAAGTCCAAATTGGTGATGTAAAGGAGAAACAAATCGTCATATTTCAATATTTCAGAAGTACTTTTTGGTTAAAAACTCTGTCTACACATTGAGAAGCAATATGAGATAACTCAACCAAAAAGGTTACAATAGAGTCCCTCTTGATTTCAGTGGGAGCTGGATCAATCCGAGAATAATTTGAGACATTAGCGCTCAAAAATTGGTCCATTAGATTAAAAAACAAAACCAAACCCTAGTGTCTGCCTTTGATCTATTGTTCTGTTACATAACCAAGTCATATCCTGCAACAGAAAAATGAGGTTGCAGAGGTTAAATTTCTACTAAGACTAAATAAAATATTGCCTAAATTATTAACTGCAGGAGAAAGTCCTTAATAATTTGTCAAAGTAGTTAAGAGAACTTAATATGTGTGTTTATATAGACAGTATGTGTAAACAACTTATCTTTAAAAGTTATGGTTAAGAATAAAACAATTCTACTTTTTCTTTAATTACACAACGTGCTTGTTTCTACCCTTTATTTGTTTTTGTTGCTGTTGTTTTGGAGGTGGGCTTTTTACTTTACCAGACTTTGATTCAGGTTTACTGAAGCCAGAGTAATTCTACCAATTTAATACCAGCATAACTGGAAGCAGAATTTGGCCCAGAGGGTTGCCAGATCAAATAAGTGTTAGAGATGCTTTTAGAAAAGGCAGAAAGGTGGCAAAGAAGAAGACAATATATGGCCTGACTACATTTTCCTAATTAGTATGAGTAGCATAATTTTTATCTAAATATTTTCCATTTTGTTGTGTTCTTTCACATATGCTGTTCTAAAATCCAAAAGTAAAAGAAACATGTTTAACTCATTTTTGCAATCTCCAGTTAAAACTTAATTTACTTATTAGATTAAAGGACATTTCCCATATGATCAATGGCAGATAAAGGAAAAACATGTGTTTATGGACTAGTTTAAGTCTTTATTTGTTTTGTTTTTTTTGTAACTGAGAATCCTCTAACAGTGCATCATAAAACCATTTAATATTCCTTACCATTTAATTTTTTTCTCCCCTTCAGACTCCTTATGTAAATAAATGTGTACCAAGACAGATAGCTTCTACTGAGTTATATATGTAAAAGTTTTGATTTATTAAAATCAGCAAGTATAGGGAAAAAATGGTTCCTTATGAATATAGTGATAAAGTAATATGAACTGTGGAAAGGGCTTTTCTAAAGGATGACAAAATACTAGTGAATTAACAGCTTGGTGCACAGATTTTTTCTTTTAATGAAAAACTGGCAGTACCTGTAAATTTTGTGAGGAAGAGTCTACCTCTAAAAAACTGCTTTAACCTGAACATCTCTAGGCTTCACTTGCAATTGGAATGATTTGTTACACCTCCTCAGATCAAGTTATGAGGAATACAGGGCACGTCTACACATTGCTGTACAGTGACGTTGCTACGGTGTCATGCTGTAGTATTTCCTTTTGGAAGTACTGAAGTATGATGCAGTATGGGTGGTTACTGCACCGTATGTATGGCTCATGGTTAGATTTTGCCGCTATGTCGCCATAGTGGTGCACTATTCTGGGGGATTGTGCCACTATGGTGATGTAGCTGGTGATCACATGCAGACCCGTGTGATCGCTATGCTGCACACTGTAGCATGCCATAGGGCAATGGGTAGACATGCCCATAAAGTAATAAATTCTGCTAAAGTGGCCAAGAAACTATCTATAGTCACACATGCTGCAATTAGTTACAGTGGTCCTAAGCAACAATAATTTAACCTCATAATGCGTCAAACCTGATTCATATCTCACAACACTAAATCAGAATGAACTTTGTTGAAATTTATAGAACTACAAGGAAGAGAATCAGGCCCTAGAAAAGATACAGTTGAAGTGGGAAAGGCATTGGGCATAAGTCAAAAAGAAAAGGCAACAAGATTTACTTTCTGTAGAATAACTGTCTCACTCCCTAATGTGTAACAGTATCCCACATAAATAAAGCAGATCTTTGAGAGAGTGATACAAGGGGATGCTTCTGTTGAGGCTGATTTCTAGTATATTTAGATACATTGGACAGAGATGATTTATGACATCACTAGAGCACAGGTTGTAAATATTTAGTATATTATTTTCCCTTTCAACATGGATTGGAGACTGGCTGACTGCTATATTGCTCTGTCATTATTCTACCAGCAGTCTACCTTTCTTTGTACTGATGCAAATGAGTGTCTCTTTCAGTCATTGGAATAACAACTCTAACTGAGAATTGTGACTAAGTTGTGATTTACTGTTTTGATGTCAGAGGACTATAGAATAACTTGGTGATGTCTGATTTGGGGATTTGCCTTTTTATTATATACTAGAATACTTTTATTATTCTCTGGGGTATTTCATGACTGCAGCGCTAGCAGCTTGTGGTCACTGGACCTCCTAATCCAAGAAGAGATTTATTTAGATAGGAGATTCCCCAAAAATATCCAGGTATTCCAAGAAATGGCATTGGTGACTTAGGTAGCACCCCCCCACACTTGCATCATTATTGCTATAGGAGCAGCAGGTTGGTAGCACCCACTGTGCTCCTGAAAGGTGTAGGCTTTTGAATGAGCCATAAAACAGATTTTGGCCTTAATTTTTCAAACTCTTGCCAGTCTTCTCAGGTTTTCAGGGAAGGTGCTTGAGGTCTCACTAGAGCCAAAGTGGAGCATCACTGTTGATACTTGTTAGGTGGGGAAACTGGGGCCCATATTTGCTCTGTGGGGCCTACTTCAGTTATTCTTGTCTTATGCTGTATCTGAGTGTTGAATATTTTTTCACAGATGCTGTTTTCTTGGCTTTCTGAATTGCAAAAAAATCCTGAAGAGCAATCCAGAACTTGGCAGGTGGTGAGTCCCTTCAGCAGATCTTCACAACATCTCTATATCACTTACCCTTCTTCCCCCACCAACTCTTCCCCCCCCCCCCCAAAGGGTTTATTTGAGCTCCTGTAATGATTCTGTCTGGGAGAGGAACCAAGGTGTCAAAGTATCAAAGTGAAATTCAAAAAAGTCAAGAGCAAGTAGAGACTTGAAGAGGAAAAAAGGGAAGTAGAAAAAACACTTGTCTTTATCATGGTAATAGTAATGAAGCTGAGCTGAAAAAGCCCAGACAATGGGCTAAGTTACTGTACTATAAACTGCTTCCTGCCAAAGAGATTCACGAGGCACCTTTACTAAACTGATTAGAGAACTACAAAGCCAAGCAAGCTGGTTTTGACTTTCTGGCAGAGGCTCACTGTTACTTAACATTTCTGATATTCAGGGTGGCCCTGTGTACATAGTTTTTGTTCCTGAAAAACGAAAATGAAAGGTGGGCTCAAAACAAATAAGCAGTCCTCTGGGATTTGCTGATGGCAAACTGGGAATGGGTTGAGCACAGTGACATTTCATCTTCCATAGGGTCTAATGCTGAAAAGTATTCCTTCAACTTTCTGATTGACTGCTATCAGAGTTGAGGTCACCCAGGGCAGATCATTCATTGTCAGGTGTGGGGTGTATTCCTTAGATTTACCTTGTTAATCCCTTCCCAAACTCTGCAGCCTGGCCTGGTGTGCAGTGGTGGGCTAAAGATGAACAAAAGTTGCATTTGAGAAATAGAGTGATTTTGTAGTCGTGATGGTCCAGGAATTATGTGAGAGGCAAGGATGTCTCTTATTGGACCAATTGCATGATTGGGATAAAGTTAAATGAGTTTGAGAAGTAGACAGTAGAAAAGTTGTTTCACAGCCCACTACACCAAAAATGTAAAGTCTAGCCTTCTTGTGATCTCTCCTGTAAACTCAATGCTGCTGTCCAGGCATTTTGCTTCAAGGCTTCAGAGACTGGATCAAGCTCTCTGATCAATCAGGCAAATTGATAGCACAGTTAAGGTATTTCTCAGTCATGCCAAAAACCCATTAACCCCAGTCTCCCAAAATATTTATATATATTTTTAAAATAATAGTAGAAGGGGAAAATTATAAACAAAGGAAAGGAAATTCTAGTACCAAAGCAGCACCTTTTCATGACCATGACAGATGAAATAATTTAATCAACAAAATGTGGGAGGATTTTCATAACTGTTTTTACTATGCTAAATTTCCTTTTTTGGTATGGGAGTGGAATTCCAATAAACAAATTTTAAAAGATTTGCTTTCTCAGATTTGCAGTCCTAATGGCTAAAAATTGTTCTTCAGACTTAATCATAGTGAAAGCCCTATCCCATATATGTCAGAGTGTAAGAAGCATGCTGCATATGGGTAATGCAATTAACCATAAAGCGATGAGAATGGATTTGGTCAAAATAAGGGGAAAACTAGAAATCAGCTATAAAGTCATTTTCAATGCATTTGGCCAGGTGGCGATATAGGGGAAGCTAAATGCAACAGGAATTGCATTGCAGTTGAAAAGGTTACCGTTTTCAAATGTGTGCTGTATACAAACTTATATTTTCACTAGTAGAAAAAAAGAATTAGATTTAATTGAGCTCATTCTGACCAATGTACAATGGTGTAAAATGGCTTCAGCAGTGGTACTTTGTGTCTTTATCATTGTAGTAGATTGGAGTCTATTTCAGTATGGTTAATAGCATTTATTGAATGCAAAACTTCATTTTTATTCAAATGAAATCTATGCATGGGCATTTTGGGAGGTGGTCATTAAGTAGTAAGAGTTAGTATAGGAACCTAAAAGGAATCCTTGTCTTTCTACCTTTATGTAAAAATTCCTTTGAAATCTCACCTGAAGTTCAGTAAACTTACATTTTGTGTAAGATGTCATAGTAACACACTGTTTTTTGTTTCCAGAGCAAAACTTGGAAAAGGAATAGGAAGCATTATGAACATGAAAGGCATCTCATTTATTTGCACCATATGTATTATCTCGCACTTCTTAATATGAAATCATCCAAAAGGTCAGTTAATGTCTTGAGCAAATTGTATGAAACTTTCTTTGAAAGTAACATAATGCATTTCTACTGTTTTTACGCACAGCTCTGTGTTTGGCTAGATAACCTAGTTGTGGTGATGACTGTGGTTCCTAGGAGCCCTGGACATGAACAAGAATCCCATTGTAGTCAGCACTGTTGAAACCCAAAACAAAAAGGATGGTCCATGACCTAAAGATCTCACCATGTGTCCTCCATAAATAAACAGGGTTTTATCATAGGCACTTGGATTCTTTACCAGCATCTTGGGAACAAGCTGCAAGAGGCTTTGGTGTAGAGACCCATTCCATAAGAGCCCCACCAGAATCTGTGGGATTACTTAAGGTAGTTTCTATAGATGTAAATCTGCAACAGTAGTAGCTCAGAGGTCAGCACACACCTTTACCAGTTAGTGCTCCTTAGGTTTCACCTTGTGCTCTGATGCCAGTTTGGGAGAACAGTGCTGTAGTCCATATTTAGTTAATGGGGCACTGTTTGCTATTTTCCCACAAGTGAAAGGACTTCAAAGAAGAAAAGGAGCTTATGTACCACTGACTATTCAGTAATCATCTGTGTGCATTCACACCACCCTCCAGCCTCAAGTTCTGTATAATAAGGACTGTGTAGTTAGAAGGGGGTGACAGAAGTAGCTGTGGGTAGAGCTGTATATAAAGTATAACTTTAGTATTGCACTGCCCTCACTATCTTGCACACCGCACAATAGACTCTGTTTATCAGGGCAGTTTGACAGCTTGACAGGAGGGGTGCTGTATTTTTAAGTGGAAATGGCCAGAGGACACTGTCAAAGAACAGTATTTGGGCAATTAAAGTAACATCTGCTGTATATGCAAAGAATGATGATCTTTCCTCCTTTCTTCTAAATTTGCTTTTCTCTGTTTGGTGCGACCTGGAACAGGCTGCTGGAGAAAAATGGCCAGTTTGCAGTGACTGAACAAGAATATGATGTCCATGACCTGGTAAGTGACTGAGCAATCACTGCTATCATCTCTGCCCTCTGCTTTTTAGTAACTACCTCCCCAAAGCAAAGTCATAGCTAAAGCTCTTTTTGGGGGTGCGTAGTCCCTACAAGTGTTATAGGTCTAGAACGTTTTAAGAATATTTTGAAATTTTTTTTAAAGGTGAGATCAGAGTTTTAGGCAGAGAAATAAATGGCCTGATTGTTAAGACAGCAATGAGTACAGAGTACCTTTTGAAATGTAAGAAGTGCCTAAAAACAGGTTTTAGAGCAGTAACACGAAATGCCTCAGCCTTAAAATTTTGACTTGGGCTTATATCATGTGCACATGTGTGTGTGTGTAAAATTATTCTTAGAATCTTATTCTTAAATCTGCCAAATTTAGTAGTCAAGATCTTTAAATAAAGTATACCAGGGGTGCTCAACCCCTGGTCCGCAGGCCAGATCTGGCCCCCAGTACCAGGCCATCCAGCCTGCAGGGCTCCCCACAGGTCTAAAAATTTGGCAGTGGGGGACCGGTGGCACTGCTTCCCTCCTGACAAATTTTCAAACCTGTGGGAAGCCCCATGGGATGGAGAGTGAGCTTCCATGTGGTGGATTGGATGCTCAGCGCCCCAGGACCTAATCCTGGCACATGGGGGTGGCACGGGGCCCCATGGCCTGATCCTGTCATACAGGGCCAGCTCAGGGCCTAATGTGGTTGTGCAGGGCCAGGCAGAGGCACCACAGAGCCCAGTCCGGCCTGTGGACTAGCCCTACACCATTCATCTGGCCTGCGGGGCCAGAAGATTAAGCACCACTCAAGTATGCAATAAAACCCTCTTATAGTAAAGCTGATTTATTTGCCACTTAGCTAAAATTGCGATTTGGATGCTCCATTGCAAACTAGTAGGAGCTTTCATTCAGTTTTACCATAAACTGAGTTTTGCTTTATCTTAGTTCGACATTCACAGAGTGATGGCTGTTTATGCCTCCATCTGAAATTAGATCTAGTCAAATAAAAAAACAAACAACAAAAAACTTTCACCTGTAACTAACTTAACAATTGATGGGAAAAATACATAGAATAAATCATATGTAAAATATTAATTTATAGATTTTTTTTTCAAATGTTAAAATGTATTGGTGAATAATCTGTTTGAAGAAATGTCAGAATTTATTCAATGACATATTTCCAGTGACAAATTTGAATAGTTTCCACATTGTGGTCATGTTTATGGGTAAAATAAAACAATAGTGTGAGTCTAGACTTGGTCTTAGTGAACTCAGAAGTAAAATTTATCTTGACCTCAATGGAAGTAACACCTGCCCAATGTTTGTAAAATGCCAAATGGGTGAAGCTAGATTTTTAATAGTGGTAATAAAACCTATGGAAATATGTGTGAAGCCAAAAGGAAAATTTAAGGGACTGTCCCCATCTAATTGTGTTTAAAATGATCTCTTGAGTTCCATTTGATTTGTGAACAATAGATTTATTGGCAAATATAAGACAACATTCTTTCAAGGTAAAAGGAATAAGCAATAAATAACATTTCCCTCCTGCTGTATTTGATTGGAAGTGCCTATTTATTGAAAAATGCCAAAGAGCAGCACAGTCTGTGAAGAGGTCTGTCTAATACTGAACATTGTTCTTTATTGCAGTCAGGTATTTATGGCTTTGGTTTGAAAAGGGAACGTAACTTTCAGAGGCTTCTTCTGTAAGACTCATTTAGCTACCTCCTGTTCTAGATTTTATAGGCAGTTGAACTAGTGATCATCAGATCCGAGTATGATCCCCCAGCCTGAACCCAGACAAAGCAGAAGTCACAAAAGTGACCAACTAAAGTTGGCAGATTCAAGAATAGAAACTTGTCTAAAACGTAACAGATAGTTCTAGTAACCAACAGATATTAGTCAAAAGTTTGAGCTCTTGTGCTGAATTGAACAAATCATATTGTTTGGGGCTTTGTTTCCAGTATCTTTTGGGGGTTTTTAGAGAACAGTTTGCAGTGCTTTGCTTTGGAAATGCAGTACTGTTTTTTATAACAGTAATTTGTACTCCTATTATCCCAAGATGGATTATTTGTTTCCAAATCATCATAAACAACCTGGAACCAGCCCCACTGAAAGAGAGCGAAGAGAAAATGTACTTCCAGTTTTGATGAGAAAGAAGCAGCAGGAGCAACATCACAGGGGCCCCTCCAAAATGAGCAGAGTTTTTAAAGGCTTGAGAAATGGGTCAGAGCAAAAACAAGATGAAGATAGAGGAGACACTGAAGTGTGAGTAGGTTTTGTCTAAATGTAATTGCCAGAACCACATCATCCGGCCACAGTTCTATGTCAGTGTCCTTGCAGAAGGAATCAGACATGCTCATCTGAATAAAGTGCCTGTATCTGTTGCTTTGGACTGGAAATAGAAACTTGTTTTATTATAAATAATAAGGTTGCTGTTCCCTTTTCCTTTTGTAAATTTGACTCTAAACACTGCAGTTCTTTAGAGCAATCACATATTCAAATACACGTAGGTGTGAGCTTTCAAATATCCTCACCAGTGAATATTCAGAGCATCACACCCTGGTGCTTTCTTCTGAAGTTGAGAAGAACCTGCTGTGCAAACTCAGGATGAATGTTGTTAAAATATCCATAACTTTGTTATTTTGGAATCAGATTTTTTTCAAACAAGCATGTGTTTTCTCTGTGAGACTATGTGCAGTTTGTGCCAAATTTGAAATGTTTAAAGCAAAATGATTTTGGACTTACCTAAACGAAGGAATGCTTGTAAATAAATTTCTTACCAGTGGACTTTATTCTCATGAACAAATAAAATCCATTTGACTTTTCTGGAGTTAGTAAAATTTACCAAGCAGTTTTTTTCTAGTGTCAGAAAAAGAATGGAAATTATCTACCCAAAAGGGGCTGTCTTAAGAAACTGAAAAGTAAAAATTACAAGACACTATCTCAATAATAATTATGATGTTACTACTATGGCACTATGATATTGACTTGTACACAGAGAATAGCCAAATGATTTAGAGGAAGTTCTATTTTCAGAGCTGTTTTGGTTGTATCTTACAGTTTGAAGGATCAGAAATCCAATGTCCATGTCCTGCCTGAAATGATCCCTGTGCCTCTAACCCTGGAAGATGTGGTTCTGAAGAATCGGGTTGTGGTATGTATATCTTCACTCTTCTTTTTTCATTAAATCAGTGCAGCACAACGTGAAGAAGTATCACACATTGCTAAAGCATTGATTAAAGGTTACTTGTCATACTAACTCATGAAACATCCAGTGCTACCTTCCAATGTACACAGACATCCCAGGAAACAACCAGAATTTGGGCAAGTGACCACTTTTAATACATTTTGGGGAACTGCCTTTTCTTTCCGCTTAAACTATTTAAAGGAAACCTCATCCACCTCTTTGTCATTTTGAAATGGGAAGAGTCTGGCAAAGTGGAGGTTGATCTTGCAGCCAGTAGTCAAGAAAAGGCCAAATTACCCTGCTACAACAAAGGCAGAATCTAAGTTTGACCAAGTTCCTGGGGTTCACTTTATCATTAGAAAGCTCATCAAAACAATACCCTTTTTCCTGAACAGCTGCCTTTAGGATGAGGCTATGTTGGATAAAAGTAGAGTGGGATCCAACGTAGACTAGAAAGGTTGGGGAATGACGTATGAAGCATGGAAGCATGAATGCAGCTATTAGGAAGAGACAACATAATGCTGGAAAATAGAGAGCGGTTAATGGTAATGTCAGAGTAAGAAGGCAGAAAGGGGATGAGTAGCATTTCTTTATGTTCTCCACTGAATGAACCAGCTGCAGATGACTGGAGATTTACTTTGCTCTTAGCCACTGAGGACATGCTTCAGGTGCTCTTCTGGAAAACCTAAACAGGTTACAAGCTATGTGCTTAAAGTCAGTTCAGCATTTAACCAGATATGCCTAGTGTGCCTGAGATTTGTGAGAATTACAGCTGAGGCATCCCACCCTGCCCACCCCCCTCTCCCACACACACACACACACACACACACACACACACACACACACACACATACACACACACACACTGCACCAGACTACAGATGAATGCTGAACTGACTGTAAATATTTGGGAGGCAAGGGGTTGTATGTTGGGGTGGGTTTTTTTGTGAGCTTTTAGTCACAAAGTACCCTTCCTCAGTTAGGTATCCTCTCGCATATTTCCTGGACCATCACTGGTACAACATCAGTTGAATACTGCATGGAAATATTTAGGTCATTTAAGCAACATTAAATATTCAGATTCATGTGGAAGTGATCAAAAGTTGAATATTAGTTTTGGCTTGCTGTATGGAAAATTGACAGATTTCCTTAGGAAAATTTCAGTTATGTGAAAGCTGCATTTTCCTATCAACAAGTATTACACGAACATTTCTGTCCAGCTCCAATCAGAAGAGAGAAGGCTGAACCAAACTTACTGCTTATTTTATCTGTATTTATTTGTAGTAAAGTATTAAGTTATGTTCTAACAAGCTGTTTCAACTAAAATGTTGTTTAGACTAATTACAGATTTATGTTGCATACATTAATTTTAATACAACTGTATGGTTATATATCCATTTTCTTTCAAATAAAATTAAACTACTTTTTTTTATTTTAGGAGGCAAAATCAGCAGTTACTTACTGGATAAATTATGCAGACAAAGAAGCAGCCCTTTCCTAAGCTGGAAAACGACGGAAAAAATATAGAATTCAAAATAGGAATAATCAAGTGCAGTTTTGTATTTGTAGATCAAAGAGCTACATAACTTGCAGACTCTGATATGTAAAATATGAAATCCATATACTGTCACTTTACTTCTTACAATCCTGATCCTATTTGAAATAAAGGGGAATTTTGCCATTCATTTAAATTAGACCACTATTATGTAATGTTTAAAAAGATATGGTATATGTGTCTTATTTTATGAAAACCAATAATTTACTGTGGTATTTTGCTAGCCAGCAAATTGACTTGTGCTCCTGTAGTGAAGACTGTTTGTGATTAAATCAGTGATAATTTCTCAACTTGAACTCTCACATGGAGCAGTGACATCAAAGGAAGGAAATAAAGAGGGTAAGCGTACTTTAAGTGATCAATTACTGAGACGCAAGATTTCCTTCTGAGAAAGCAGACAAATTGTCTATGGCAACCCGTTAGAAATGTACTCAGCTTCAAAAATATACAAGTTCTGTATGGTCTTATAGTAATTTCTCTCTATATAATCCATATTTCAAGCCTCTTAGTACACAGCATAAATATGTCTGGCATTAAAAGTCTAATTATTATTTAATGTATGTAACTAGGGTTTTTTTTGTGTGTGGCATGCTAAGATATTGCATTTTAAGTTCATGCAGGCTCTCTCATTTACTGTTGAACAAACATTTTGCAAACCAACATTACTGGCTCCGAAGAGGTAGGACATTGTGCACTGTGTAGGAAGACACAGAACAGATGGGAGTGGGGATAAGATACACTTGTGGAAATCAAACTGAGAGTGCTTATGAGAGAAGGTGAGCCAACTTGACATTAGGATCTGCCTATTTTGAAATAGAACAATTAGAGTTAGTCGATCAAAGGTTTCTCTCAAACATCACTACATTTACTGAGCGCTTGTTTCCCTGCAGAAAAGAAAGATTACCAGTGTTAACTGTCTTGCTTGTATCCCTGATTCTTTAGGAAATGTAGTATCAGTGAAGATTACAGAGGATCAGATTTGTTTTTCTCTGCCTTTTATAGCTATGGAATTTTTTTTTAAAGTTCAGTTTTATGCATGGATGAATACCAAGTATCCGGTATTTCTTTGTATTTAAGTTATTGAAAGGGTGGAACTGCTGTTGCACATTGTTTTATGAACAGTCACCACTGTTAAAAACTAGTTAAGTAAGCAGCCTTACTCTTTAGCTTTCAGTAATGGCATCAAAAATGAATTTCCCATGGATAGACTGCAGCATACTGAAAAAATAACTAAAAATGGCAATCTGGTATTCTCCACACCATGCAAGGAACTAAATTACAGATGCCAATAAGAAAGTACAGCTTAAATAGCCAGAGTATATTTTCATACAAAAATGAATGCTGTTAAACATTTTTAAATAAAAATATAAGTATTAGGTCTTAAGACACAAGCACTTAAGAGGTTAGGAAATGAAGAATGTAGCAATAAAACATTTTTGGAAATAGCAAACTGAGATTGCAGTCAGTCCATCACTCCAAGGTATGCTGGTTTTAAGAGGCTCTTCAACTACAATGTAAAAAAAAATCATATCCATCTTCTCTAAAATTAGTCTTCAGTTCTGAGCTGTTCTTCATGGCTTGTCACCAGGCTTTCAAGTTTCAATTGATGTGTCTGATCCAGTTCAACTACAGAAAAGATTTCACCAAGATTTAGCATTATTCTACCTCAAGATAACTAGTCTGATTTCTGAACCATGCCATTTTTAATACTAAAAATACAGCAAAGGGAATCCAGAACAAATTGTTGTAAATCTGATCTATGGCTAATGAAGAAAATCTCCTAACCTTTATTCAGATCTAAAAGAAAAAAGAATGATGAAAACAAATTACATTTTTTGCCAGTTGCCAAGAAAGGGAAAATTTCATGCAAAAAATTTACTACAAGTAGGTAAGTTTTCAAAAGGGATTAGAAATTCTTACAGAGTTTAGTGTGCTTAAAATGTAGAACAAAGGTTGCAAGGAAGATCTGATGGTATATTTTCTACACTTAGCCACTAATAAAAGTGGTCTACTAATTGCTGGGCCCAAGAGTTATATGAGTGCGACTATTAACATGTTGCCTTGTTTTGAAGTATCTGTCTCCATTAACACAGAGCATTGTAATGCAGATTACTTTGATATGCTGAATACTCTGCAGTAGTACTGGGAAGAGGAAAGTCCCCCTAAAGCGAATTGATATTAGACAGTTATCAGCAAAGATTCTATAACAATTACTGTTACTTTTTAGATTGTAAATATTGTTCTAGAAAAGGAAAGATTTATTTAGTTGCCATCGGCACTTGAAACTTTTTTCATTTTTCACAAGAGAATCAGATTCACATAAGGAAGGTTTTACTCATGTCCCAATTATTATCCATTAAAATAAGAACACAGACTTTGGTACTTACACATTTTTAAAAAAGGTATCTCCTTTCCACTACACCCTTAAATGTCACCTGAAAATTAAAACAATCAACAATTAGAACTGTGGGAAACCCTCAGGTCAAGTCATTTTTCCTTTGAAAGCAATTTTAAAAATCAGCAATAGTTGAGTGCTAATAAGTGTACAGGCTTTCAATAGCCCTTGCAAGTTTAAGTTATATTAAATAAATGTCTATGCCTGTGGCACTAAAAACTTAAGATTCTAAAAGCCAAAACTTTCAATTGTTGTTTTTCTCCAAGAGGAAAGTACAGCATGCAACCTAGTTAGTTTTCTTATCCAGAACCAAAAGAACCAAAGAAGTGCAACCATTTCTTTGTATGTACAAAACTGCAAAGCCATTTGCATTCTTGATGGGTGTAGACTAATTCAACATGATTAACACTACTTATTTTAGTCAGAAAGTTAATATCCTGTTTTATTTTTTCTTCCTTTGTTCTCTTCCACAAGTGTTTTCTCTCCATCATTCCTAACTCAGCTTCTCTTCTTCATATATTTTCATCCTTTACCTGTTCACTCTTTTTTGCTCCCTATAATTCCACAGCCCTGTAATTTACCTTTCCTGATGCACTTCTCTTGCCCATTCTCACTGACCATGCTGTCCTTCCTTTCTGATAACAGTTTTGGTTCTTCAGTCCCAGAGCACCGTTTAGCTGTGCAATCAGGAGCTAAGCTCACTTTTGTTTTAAGCTTATTCATGAAGCCAGCAACAGTGGAAAACCTATTGGCAGCAGAGGACAAAGGGAAAAAGAAGGAACTGCCAAATGCTGCAGGGAAGCATTACTGTGAAAGTGGCAGCACTTCCATTCTGAAAAGAGCAGATGGGCCACAAGAAATGTTCCTGGGTCATGGGACACTCACTAACAGGTAAATCCCTAGCACAGTGCTGCTATATTGAAGCCATACCCATGGAATTAAAGAATCTCCTGTCAAATTGTTTTAACGTATATTGTTAGAAGTCACAAGCGCGTTTCTATGTATATCGCATTTTGTAAAATTTGCAGTCGTTTTAAAGTTAAAAGAAAGTTGAGCCATACATTCCCCACTAGGTCTTCTAAAAAGCCTTTCTGTTTTGACAGGAGAGGTGAGCAGAATTTCAAATAGTTTTACTGAACTTTCAGCAAGGAACTTCCTAGTACTTAGGAAAGCACTGCCCTCTATGCATATTTAGCAATGTTTCAAGAGCATCATTACTAACCTGCTAACTTGTTGTTGTTCTGAATGAAAGAATTTACCATCTGTTACAAAAAAAAAGAAAGCAAACTATAGTTTTCCCACTTTTGGAAGATTAAGTGTGAAACATCACAGGACCTTGCATAATAATCACTTTCTATAACATTAATAAATCTTGAAAAGCCACTTCCAGCTATCAAGAAAGACAAATTGATTAGGTAATGTGAGTTAAGGTTAAATCCTGACTTGAATATCCAATTAACCCTTTTCTTAAGCTAGGCATTTTGTTTTTGAGAAAGAATTACCTTTCTTTTCCAGTAGTCCTTCATTTCTAAAAATTTGGTCCAAAGCTTTAGTGAGGGTTCTACAAACACTTAAAAACTTGCCACTTTTATAGATAACATTAAATTAGAAAGAGTCACACAAGCCTAATTTGAACTACTACCAAGAGGATCATTTTTGTCCTTTGCTCCTAGTAGTGTTGTGGATGATAGAGATACATCAAAATGCATTGTACTTAGTGTCACGGAGATCAGAATATTCTGCATTGCACAAGAATTGTTGTATATTGATATCACATATGATTAGGAGCATCATTTGTGAATTCTGAACACTGGTATACATTCACAGAGTAAAAAGAAAGTTTATGAGAACAAATTTTTGCTGAAAGCCCCTGGAGCCCACTTGGGGCAATCCAGATGGCCCCATACTGGGAACATGCCCTCTAAAATCAATGGAAAGTTACTTGAATTAAGACAACAGGAGTTGTGCTTAATGAGGGCTTTAAGGACTGTAGGGTTACTTCAAGTTTTAGTGTCTTCTTGCATTTCACTTTTAACTGCATCCCTAAGAAGTGCTTTCATCTTTATCTGTTTTTCACTAGAAATGTATAAAAACACTTGTATAAGGAATACATTGCATCACTTCAAGGAAATGGACTAGATAACCAAATACTTTTTGTCTCCATATTCTGGACTTCCCCTTCCATTTCAATGGCTTCTCCATTCATAGAGGCTCCTAGTTGTGCTGAGCTATGCAATGGTTTTGTCAGGTTGAAAACATTCAGGAACTGTACTGAAATTGCTAAGGTCATATTTATAACCATTTGGAGACTAAAGCAAGAATGTAATGTCTTGCCTGCTGAGCAGAGTATCTTGATGACAGCTCATTAGTGCCCCTGTAGAGTTGAAAGTGCTGGTTATGACCTACTGAGCCCTAGATGGCCTGGGACCAGGCTATTTGGAGAGACTCTTTCCTCCCTGTGCTCATGCCACAGCTGGGATCAGAAGAAGCACCTGGGCACTAGAAGACACTAGGAGAGAGAGAGGAGACTGTTATCCAGGTGTTCTCCTTGAGAGCTCCAGGACTTTGGAGTTCACCCATCTTCCCCTTTGGGCTTGGCACATTAGTAGGAGGTTTTGGAGAGGACTGGACATATGCTTCTCAAAACAATGAAGGACAGAGAGTATAAGTTTGCATTTTTGTGGGGGGATGGGGAGAAGAAAGGCGTTGGGAAAGTAATTTGGTAGGCTACTGATTAGCTTAATTCTTTTTGAATAATATACTGCAAGGATCTTACTGTATTACTAGCATAAGTGTGCATCATCTAGAAACCTTTTTATCATTTAGATCAAAATAAGTAACCTACAGACTGGTTTCAAACATAGGTTTGCAGTGATGGAGAGACTAGTGCAACAGCCTAACAACCAACTCTGTCTTCAAAGTTAGTGTTTTGAACATATTTATACTCTAATACCCTTGAAACAATTGCAATCTCCAATCCCTGTGAAAAGCACCATCAAGGAAAATAAATAGTAGGTGTTTAGAAATGGGAATGCTAAAATGTCATAGGTTTGTATACTTTGTTCCAAGTCAGTAATCATTACTTTGTCAGTTGCCATCAGTCTTATTCATCTTGA